TCGCCTAAACTACTTTAATGGAACCAGTTATTAAACTTTTTAACAAGTATATTGGAATTAAACGACGCCGTAGTATTGTCTATTATTGTTCAATGAAAACTCAACGGGTGAATCACTAGAAACTCTGTATGTGATATTGAATAAACAGCATGGAAAATATTATGTTAAATCAAACCAAGCATGTACTGCGTTCGTGACTCAAATCGAAGCTCGCATACGGAATCTAATCGCCTAAACCCAAACTGTGCACAATATTTGCTTTTTCTTTTTTTCATTTTTATGAGCTTGCTGAAGGTTATTTTTTTGCACAGTGTGAAATATTTTTTTCAGAGATTTAGTCGTGCAAATTTTTTATTTGGTTGATATAATTGTCTAAATTCGAGAAATTTGGAACATGCAAATAAATCTCCATTTTTTGTAAACTGTAGTACTAAACATTGATATTTTCGTCTTTTATCGGTGCGTTGATTCCAGTAGAACCTTTCTGTGACATGACCCACACAATTTGTGTTTTGCTCTTATAAAGGCATAATGACTGTCAATGCCTAAAGACATTTCAAATACAGAACATACACATGTTTTATTGCAGTAATGACTGTCTAGAATAGGAGTGCTTAGTTTGATATGTACTACAAATTCAAAAGAATGTCTAACATACTTGTTCCCATAGAGATGTCATATATGCGTTGATGTTTGTTGTCATACCGGTTTTCGAGTAGTTTCATGGCAGTTGTGTAGTTGGCGTCGGTAGTTGCTAGTCCGACTCGTCGCTTCATCTCTAAGAAAACTACAGAGATAGGTCAATGTTTTCACATTATGAAACTTCCACATGAGGAGTTGAAGCTTAGATTTCATAGATCAGTCTCGTCGAATTCTGGGTGTTCGAGTGGAACCATGCGTCGGCAGCGAGTATTCGTTCCATGTGTATTTCTGAGACATATATAGTCGTTGAATTTGTTGTAAAGCCAGTTCTTTGTTTTCCTGTAGTTCGTTGTCTCGGATCAGCGGTTCTATCTGGTTCATTACTGTTGGGAGTTGCCTCCTCGTCGTTGTTCTGTTTCTTTTCCCTTTTGTGATGTCGGTCGCGTCGCCAACTTGATGATCTTCGTTGAAAGACATGTTGCATGTAGGTTGCTAACAGTCTTGAGTAGAATGCACTGCATAATCTAGTTGAGTATCCTTGTCTCGGCACTAAAATGTGGATGATATTCGCTCACATTCGATCAGGTTCAGATAGTAAAGGCTGCATAATGTACATCTAAACTAAAGAAATATATAATTAGGCGCCCTTTTATAGGGTTGAGTAAGATTCACACCTCTGGTTTTAAAATTGAAGGGAAACACAATGATTGGATAGTAATATTAACCTTGCAACTGATTTCTATAGCGTTCGTACTGATAGTAGTTATTACTAAATGGCTCAAGTAACTCAAATCTTTGTTTCTTTACAATATAGACACATGCATAACTGTATAATTTCAAACAAGTAACAACTTTCAATTGTTCTCAGATAATATAGCTTGGAATTGTATAAAATAAAACGAAAAGATACAGTAAAATGTAGTCTAATAATATCACTAAATTACGAACACGAGAATAAAACTGAATAAACAACAAGTAATATATATGACAGAGGAAACACGCATCAATACTAATCACGAAGACTAACATTGTGTGAATTGAACACGAGAGTTGCGAGCAGCTCAGTATGTCGATATTATATAAAGCTATGTTTGTACGTACATTCGCACATACATGTATGTATGCATAGGTGTTGATATTTTGAGTAGACAATTCATTTCAACGTATAAGGATAACTTGTAGCTGGTCGGCAAATATTACAATGAAATGCTGAGATAAAATATAACTACGACACTGATTCAAATGAGTATACTTAGCGGACATGTGGCAATGTATTATAAGAATTTATATTCATTCAATCTTGACATAATGTATATAACATATACAGTATTAAAAGCCATCCTTAGCACGAAGTTATATGTACCAATGTTTTGTACGAGTATGTCCGCTGTTTTCACTTAGTAGTATGCATTACTCATAGCACGGTTTAGTGTATTTTCTCACGTACCTACCACTCCCAGCAGTTGCCACGCAAGAAATGAAAATGAGCATGCGCGAAATAAATCACTTGCGTTTATTTAGCCAATGAAAATGCCCTCAAATGTAGAGATTATAAAAACAAACACGTCAGCAAAAAAATAATCGTTAAATTCGAATGAGCGGATCCAATCTATCAGTTGCATAAGTGTTTGTCTGAAGTCTATGCACAACGTTTCCCGTAGAAGAGTATTGCAGGAAAGGCAGCAATGATGTTATGTTTATTATTGATCCTTGCCAGTTTGATTCAAGCAGTCCCGCACGAGGTAGGTTTACTTATTTGTTCAATCTACGATGTAGTGTGTATATTCACTTATCATCACTATTGCCATCTCACCAGCATTATTGCACTTTTTATATAAATACCACCCCCCCCCTATTTTTTGCTTTTTCTTACCCAGACAGTCATGTTGGATCTTACTCAAAAAACAATTTTAAAATATAGGGAACCCAGGCATGCGTATGTGATTAAAAGTCTCGAAAGTTTGTTTGAGTTACTTTTTGATTGAGGTGTGTAACTTTCTGCCGTGGTGCGATCGACTATCCTCACAAACTACAAAAAAAACAGACAAGACGTTGACGCTTCCAGCATTCACGCTGAATGAAACAAAACATACAGTTTTAAACTTGTCAGTGGTATACTGTTAAAAAATTAGATTTGTTATTTATTTACATACAGGAGGAAGGCCCGATAGTGCGATTTCATTGTTTTCATTGTGGGCGAAACTAAAAAATGTTTTCACATATTTGTTACTCTGAAGGCATTTTAACAATGCATTCAAAAGTTTTAAGTGCACTTTCACCTAAAAGGCATGATTTTAATCAAAATTAATACCACTT